AAAAAAATCAGCCAGGTACGGTGGTGCACACCTGTGGTCCACACTTCAGCCTGGATGACAGAGTAAGACCTCATCTAAAAAGAAATAAAAATGCAAGCTTTTAAGCAAAAATGGAATTTTGTAAAACTCTTATCTGCCACTACAAGCTCTATAGCTCATGAATAAATGTTCAGCTGATATCAGCGGCAAAAGTAACAAATGTGACTTTTTATTTTATTTTATTTTATTTTTTGAGACGGAGTTTCACTCTTGTTACCCAGGCTGGAGTGCAATGGCCCGATCTCGGCTCACCGCAATGGCCCGATCTCGGCTCACCGCAGCCTCCGCCTCCTGGGTTCAGGCAATTCTCCTGCCTCAGCCGCCGGAGTAGCTGGGATTACAGGCACGCACCACCATGCCCAGCTGAATTTTTGTATTTTTTAGTAGAGACGGGGTTTCACCATTTTGACCAGGATGGTCTCGATCTCTTGACCTCGTGATCCACCCGCCTCGGCCTCCCAAAGTGCTGGAATTACAGGCGTGAGCCACCGCGCCCAGCAAATGTGACTTTTTAAAAAGATGTAATAAAATGTGTCAACATTTGGAAGATCTTTGTAACTCAGTGATTCCAATATATATATTTTTTAAATCACACATGGTCAGGCCTGGTGGCTCACACCTGTAATCCCAGCACTTTGGGAGGTTGTGGCAGGCAGACCACTTGAGCACAGGAGTTCGAGGCCAGCCTGGCCAACATGTGAAACCTTGTCTCTACTAAAAACATAAAAATCAGCCGGGCGTGATAATGCATGCCGGTAATCCCAGCTACCTGGGAGGATGAGGCAGTGACACCAAATTGTCAAGAATCACTTGAGCCCAGGAGATGGAGGTTGCAGTGAGCTGAGATCATGCCACTGCACTCTGCCTGGATGAAAGAGCAGACTCTGTCTCAGAGGTTAAAAAAAAACTCACACATGGATGACATGGATGTAAGAAACTCGTTCAAATTACAGGAGTAATCAATAATGTTAATATAACAAAGGAAAGCCGGGCAGGGTGGCTCACACCTATAATCCCAGTACTTTGGGAAGCAGAGGGGGCAGATCACAAGGTCAAGAGAAGGAGACCATACTGAACCGACATGGTGAAACCCTGTCTCTGCTGAAAAAATACAAAAATTAGCTAGGAGTGGTGGCGTGTGCCTGTATTCCCAGTTACTCGGGAGGCTGAGGCAGGAGAATCACTTAAACCCAGGAGGTGGAGATTGCAGTGAGTGGAGATCGTGCCACTGCACTCCAGCCTGGTGACAGAGTGAGACTCCATCTCAAATATATATACATACATGTATATATAACAAAGGAGAAGTTCACTAACACGGTTTCAGATTCCTCACTGCACCTAATCCGTGTGAAACTGCCACTGGTTATTTCAAAGTAGTACAGGGTGAGTATTCTTCTATAAATGCGTGTGACCAGAAGCCTTTTGGATTTTGCATTTTTTAATACCTGCGTATGCCTACTGAGATATCTTTTTTTTGAAACAGAGTCTCGCTCTGTCACCCAGGCTGGAGTGCAGTGGTGCGATCGGCTTCCTGCAACCTCCGCCTCCTGGGTTCAAGCTATTCTCCTGCCTCAGCCTCCCAAGTAGCTGGGATTACGGACACCCACCACAACACCCAGCTAATTTTTTGTTTTTTAGTAAAGATGGGGTTTCACCATGTTGGCCAGGCTGGTCTTGAACTCCTGTCCTCAGGTGATCTGCCTGCCTCAGCCTCCAAAGTGTTGGGATTACAGGCGTGAGCTGCAGTGTCTGACCCAGATTTTCTTTCTGTGCTTCAAACCAAAGTGCACACTGCAACAGATTGAATGCAGAAGCAGACATGAGAGGCCAGGTATTTTTCATGAAGCCAGACACAGAGAGATCTATAAAAATGTCTCTCTTTACTGAAAAAAAAATTTTTTTGAGACAGAGTCTAAGTGTTGTCCTGGGTTGGAGTGCAATGGTGCAATCTTGGCTTACTGCAACCTCCACCTCCCAGGTTCCAGCAATTCTTCCTCAGCCTCCCAAGCAGCTGGAATTATAGGCACGAGCCACCACACCTGGCTAATTTTTCTATTTTTTAGTAGAGACAGCGTTTTGCCATGTTGGCCAGGCTGGTCTTGAACTCTTGACCTTGTGATCTGCCTTCCTCAGACTCCCAAAGTCCTGATATTACAGGCGTGGGCCAGCATGACTGGCTGAAAAAAAATTTTTTTTTTTTTTTGAGATGGAGTCTTGTTCTGTTGCCAGGCTAGAGTGTAGTGGCACGATCTCTGCTCACTGCAACCTCCACCTCCCCGGTTTCAAGCGATTCTCCTGCCTCAGCCTCCTGAGTAGCTGGGATTACAAGAATATGCCGCCACGCCTGGCTAATTTTTGTATTTTTAGTAGAGACGGCGGGGTTTTACCATGTTGGCCAGGATGGTCTCAAACTCCTGACCTTATGATCCTCCCGCCTCAGACTCCCAAAGTGCTAGGATTACAGGCATGAGCCATCAGGCCCGGCCCCCAGTTTTTTTTTATTTTTTAAATAAAGATACATTTTGGGGTTCTCAATATTTTAACAGGGTAAAATGGGCTCTGACACCAACACGTGTGAAAAGTGCTTATCTAAACAAAAGCGCTGGAGACACAGTAGAAGTGTTTACAAATGCAAATCTCAATGTGCTGGTTCAGTTTGTTGGCCAACAGACTCCCAAGCCCCACAGCCCCCAGCATGAATACTCGGCTACTGTTCGTACTCAAGCACCTACGAAGAGTCAACAGCCCGCTGCCTAAGACATGGTGACTCATCTGCTCTACTTGCAGTATCTATTCCTTTGGAACAGATGGCAAGGAGCTGGAAATTCATAGGTTGCGGCTGTCGGCCTGCTGTACTCACCACCGCTTGTGTATACCTCCAACTGTCGGTTGATGTTGGATTTGTCTACTAGGGAATGAAGGACATTGAGGACACTGTGAACATTCCAGATTTTGGGATTGGAACGAAGGAAGTCAATCTCCTCCTCTGACTTCTTGGCAGTCTTGCAGCGGTACTGACTGAATGACTGAAACTGTGAGGTAGAAAGGAAACATGCAGTAGTGGTATGAGCCCAAAGTGATCGTCCACATGCACAATGCTGAAAATGAGGCAATGCTCTGGCTACGGACAGGATGAGGTGAGGTGAGACAACCACTTCTCATTCTAAACAGAAGTTGCTAATTTTATGATAGAAAAACAAGCTGGGCATGGTGGCTCATGCCTGTAATCCCAGCACTTTGGGAGGCTGAGGTGGGTAGATCACCTCAGGTCAGGAGTTCGAGACCAGCATGACCAACATAGAGAAACCCTGTCTTTACTAAAAATACAAAAAATTAGCTGGGCATGGTGGCGCATGCCTGTAATCCCAGCTACTCAGGAGGCTGAGGCAGGAGGATTGCTCGAACCCAAGAGGTGGAGGTTGCAGTGAGCCAAGATTGTGCCACTGTACTCCAGACTGGACAACAAGAGCAAAACTCCATCTCAAAAAAAGAAAAGAAAAAAAAAAACAAAAAATATGCCAGGGGTGGTGGCTCATGAGGTCAAGAGATTGAGACCATCCTGGCCAACATGGTGAAACCCCATCTCTACTAAAAATACAAAAATTAGCTGGGCCTGGTGGCGCTTGCCTGTAGTCCCAGCTACTCAGGAGGGTGAGGGAGGAGAATCACTTGAACCCAGGAGTTGGAGGCTGCAGTGACCCAAGATCGCATTATTGCGCTCAGGCCTGGTGACAAGAGCAAGACTCCATCTCAAAAAAAAATTAAAAAATAAAAATAAAATAAAAAGCAAGTATCCTTCAATCAACAATTCTACTTCTAGGTAGTGATTCCTAAAAATATGCCTATGTATAACACATATGGATATTCATTGATTCACTGCCTGTCATTGTGGAAACTGACAAATCAAATGTTCATCATCGGAGGCATTGTACATCCACATCATGCATACCGCAGCAAAAGAACAAGGCACGTCTATGAAAACATGGTTTAAGTGTTAACAAGTCACAGCAAAGGGCACAATAGAGCATGTAACCATTTTTGAAATGATCTCTCTTTATACAGTCACGTTTACGTAAATACCTGAGAAACATAAGATGCCTTTCCTTGCAGACAGTAATTGACACCTCTGCAAACACAAGGAAGGCAGGCATTTTCACTTTACCTGTAGTTTGAACAACAACAAAAAAGGAGTGGCAAGGAAGAGCCACTTACCCCATGCGGCAGCTACCTGGCCAGGAGGAAACACACCAGGCGCTCACTGACCCTCACTGGATTGTCTTTGTTAGAAACAGAAAGTACCATAAGCCCCTTAACGAGAACACTGGCTAAGCCCAGGGAATTAGGATTATCTTAAGAGGGATGGAAGAAAATCAGCACAAATGATCCTTCTTCACTTGCTCTAAGTCAAAAGGACTGCTATTCATCTAGAAGTATTCCAAATAAGAGGATGATACAAGCCAAGGAGCCAGAGGACAAACAAGGCCAGTGCAGTTTGCAGCTTTTGCTGTGAAAGGCATGGAGTTCCAATAACATCTTTATTAAGACACCAATTTACCCTGAAATAACCAGTTAGATTATAGACAGAGCACAAAAGGGGAAAGGATTATATTTTGTCAAATATTTTATGTTTTGTAGTTTCTATTTCTCAAACTCTGGCCTGAAGCAATTCTCCTGCCGTGGCCCCCCAAAATGCTGGGATTATAGTTGTGGGCAACCTTGTAGTCTGTATTTTTAAATAGGACTGGGCTAAATAAGATGGAAAAGAATAATGACATTGAACATCATCACAGTGAACAGGCAACATGTATTAATTATTCCGTGACAGGTACTATGCTAAGCACTTTAAATGTAGTATCTTATAACGGTCGCGGCAATCCTCTTTTAGAGATAAAAAAAAACCAATGCACAGCGTCGTTAAGTAACATGCCCCCAAAAGAACGTTACCATTATAAAAATGGGCCAGTAGGCCAGGTGCGGTGGTTCACGCCATTAATCCCAGCACTTTGGGAGGCCGAGGCAGGTGGATCACCTGAGGTCAGGAGCTCAAGACCAACCTGGCCAACAGGGAGAAACGCTGTTTCTACTAAAAATACAAAAAATAAGCTACAGGTGGTGGTGGGTATCTGTAATCCCAGCTACTGGGGAGGCTGAGGCAGACGTTGCAATGAGCCAAGATCACGCCACTGCACTCCAGCATGGGCAACAGAGTAAGACTGGGTCTCAAAAAAAAAGCCAGTGAACAGCAAACCTGAACCTTTCCCCAGGCTACCCAGCTGCCGCACTTTATCTGCATTTGGCACAGTTCTCAGTCAACCTCGAACAGTAACTCCTGAGATAGGTGATATTCTTGTTTTGATAAAAATATTCCATTGTATTCTGATCGAGCATATACTTAAGTATACACCACCACAATCAAGATATAGATTGGGCGGCCGGGAGCGGTGGCTCACGTCTGTAATCCTAGCACTTTGGGAGGCCGAGGTGGGTAATCACCAGAGGTCAGGAGTTCAAGACCAGCCTGGCCAATGGTGAAACCCCATCTTAAAAAATAAAAAGATATACATTGGGCATGGTGCCTGACTTTGGGAGGCCAAGTCGAGAGGATCACTTGAGGCCAAGAGTTCAAGACCAGCGTAGGCAACACAGCAAGACCCTAATCTCTACAATAATAAAAATAGCCAGGAAGGTGGTGCAGGCCTTATAGTGGCAGGTACTCAAGTGGCAGAGGCAGGAAGATCACTTGAACCCCGGAGTTCCAGGCTGCAATAAGCTAGGATCACACCACTGCACTCTAGCCCAAGTGACAGAGTGAGACCCTGACTCTTAATT